ATAAAACTTGATACCCATTTTATTAATTGGATTCTCATAACAACTCAGTTCTGTCTTAAGATAAATGAACCACATATTCATTTCATTCCTAAGTTCTTGAGGCCAAAGACAGATTTCTTCTCTGAGATTGCTATGTCATTTTCAGTAGGGCCTGCTTCCGTAAAGATCATAGCCAAGAAAACTTTGTGATAGTTCTATCATCACACCAAACAACAACCACAATAGGGAAGAAAATACTTTTTTGAGAGGGTAGTTGCTAAACTAGGGATAGACTTATAAAGGTATATTGATGATTCTGATACCATCAGTAGTTTTACATTCTGTCCTGTAGGTTTTCTTAACAGAATTATGAGCAGTTCATTAAATGAGACATTTGCATTGCTGTAAAATAATGTCTTACCAAAACTGTGCGATAAGCTCTGTATATTAAATGGCATTCTGAGCCTAATAATTTTAAGTATTTTCACAAATATGAAAGTTTTGTAAAATGAGATACATATTTTTGATTGTGTATGATAACCCTTTATTTCAAAATAGAAAATATCTTTTTCTTTCATGCACAATAACCTGTAACATTGAAATAACCAAAACCACCCTAGATTCTTTCAGAGTTAAGATTCTTAAATGTGTGAGTATTAGGAGCATATTAACTTCAAGTTGTGTCACATTTTGGATTATCTTGTACTCAAGGCCCTTGAAGGTGAAGATTTGTCTCATTCTCCTTTTATAGCCTTGTTGCATTAAGTATACATTTGAAAGAAGTTTAAGAGTGAAAAATGATGTTTCAGCAATTGGCATTTCAACAATTTTAGTGTTGTTATTTAGCTTTTCATTTTTCTGTCCATGGAAATGATGTTCAGGTTCTTTAAACAGAACTTCTTTCATGACTCTTCTAGAAGTCACAGCATTTTTTTTGGTCAGTTGCCTGATTTTTTAATTTTTTTTTTACTCCTTTAATTCCAGGTCATTACTCATCGTTGTACAAAATTAAAGTCTATATTTTCTTCAGTCTTCAGATGTTTTTGCAAATATTTTATCTGTCGCTATATTCTGTCTTTACTTTCCAGTCCCTGTTTAGGAATACACATTGAGCACTTTTAACTTTTCCTCATTTAATATAATTCATTAAAATTTGCACTTGAGCTTCTAGTTAATGCAAATTTCTAGTATCCCTATGTGGCGGAGGTTTATATACTGTCAAGTCAAAACCAATACTCAGCTGGCTAGCCCTCTTGAGTGGGTTTTTAGAGGCTGTAAATTTTACAGGAGGAGACGATTCATTTACTTCCCTACTGAGCAGCTGGTGGATTTGAACAGCTTCATTAGGGCCAGCACTGCAGCTCCTTAATGGCCACGCCACCAGAGGTCCCTTGTTTCCCTATGACTCTTATATAAGTGCCCCAATTTTAGCTATAAGAATCATAAGAGTCATTAGAATATAAAAATAGTTTTAAATATAAAATAGTATTTTCCTTTCGTCGCACATTATATAATCTAAGTATGGCCAGCCTTTTGTTTTATTTGTTTTTTGTTTGATAACAAAGCAGACTTTGCTTTCTTAAATGTTAATTATATTTCACTACTAGTTGTTAATCTAGCAGTAGACTGATAAAGGTATACTGATGAGTCGATACCATGAGGAGCAGTGTTTGAGGAACAGAAGGTAATTATATTATTCCTACTGAGTATCTACTAATTTGGATGACTTAATGTAAGCATATGAATTTTATTGTCTTCCATAAGCTTGTTTTCTGACTCAGAGAAACAATATAATTA